ACCTGTCTATTTTTATGCCAATACCAGGCTGTTTTCAGAACTATAGCTCTGTAGTAGAGCTTAAAGTCAGGAATGGTGATGCCTCCTGATGTTCTTTTATTGTATAGGGTTGTTTTGGCTATCCTGGGTCTTTTGTTTTTCCATATAAAGTTAATTATTATCCTTTCAAGGTCGGTGAAGAATTGTGGTGGGATTTTAATGGGGATTGCATTGAATCTGTAGATTGCTTTTGGTAAGATTGCCATTTTTACTATGTTTATCCTACCTATCCAAGAGCATGGGAGGTCTTTCCATTTTCTGGTATCTTCTTTAATTTCTTTCTTTAGAGTCACAAAGTTCTTATTATATAGATCTTTTACTTGTTTGGTAAGCGTTACACCAAGATACTTTATGTTGCTTGTGGCTATTGTAAAGGGTGATGTTTCTCTGATTTCTTTCTCTGCCTCTTTGTCGTCTGAAAAAAATAGGGCTACTGATTTTTTTTGAGTTTATCTTGTATCCTGCTAGTTTGCTGAAGGTGTTTATCAGCTGTAGGAGTTCCCTGGTAGAGTTTATTGGGTCGCTTATGTAAACTATCATATCATCTGCAAATAGAGACAGTTTGACTTCTTCCTTTCCAATTTGGATGCCCTTGATCTCCTTTTGTTGTCTTATAGCATTAGCTAGAACTTCTAGTACGATATTGAAGAGATATGGAGAGAGAGGACAGCCTTGTCTTGTTCCTGATTTTAGAGGAATTGGCTTAAGTTTCTCTCCATTCAGTTTGATGTTGGCAGTTGGTTTGCTGTATATTGCTCTTATTATGTTTAGGTATGTTCCTGTTATCCCTGACCTCTCTAATACCTTTATCATGAAAGGGTGTTGAATTTTATCGAAGGCTTTTTCTGCATCTAGGGAGATAATCATATGGTTTTTCTTTTTCAGTTTGTTTATATGGTGGATCACGTTGATAGATTTTCGTATGTTAAACCATCCCTGCAATCCAGGTATGAAGCCTACTTGATCATGGTGGATGATTTCTCTGATGTATTTTTGAATTCGGTTTGCCATTATTTTATTGAGTATTTTTGCATCGATGTTCATCAGGGATATTGGTCTGTAGTTTTCTTTCTTAGTTGTGTCTTTGTGAGGTTTGGGTACCAAAGTTATTGTGGCCTCATAAAAAGAGATTGGCAATAAACCTTCTGTTTCTATCTTGTGGAACAGTTTGAGGAGTAGTGGTATTAGTTCTTCCTTGAATGTCTGGTAGAATTCTGCACTGAATCCATCTGGCCCTGGACTTTTTTTCCTTGGAAGGCTTTCGATGACTGCTTCTATTTCATTTCGGGTTATAGGTCTATTTAAGTTGTTTGTCTGTTCTTGATTTAATTTTGGTAAGTGATAGTTATCCAGAAACTTGTCCATTTCCTTTGAATTTTCAATTTTTGTGGAATACAGATTTTCGAAGTATGACCTGAAAATTGTCTGGATTTCCTCTGTGTCTGTTGTTATGTTCCCCATTTCATTTCTGATTTTGTTAATTTGCATGTTCTGTCTCTGCTTTTTCGTTAATTTGGATAAAGGTTTATCAATCTTGTTGATTTTCTCAAAAAACCAACTCTTTGTTGCATTGATTTTTTGTATTGTTTTCCTGGTTTCTATTTTGTTGATTTCAGCCCTCAAGTTGATTATTTCCTGGCGTCTGCTCCTGCGGGGTGAATTCGCTTCTCTCTGTTCTAAGGTTTTCAGTTGCGCTGTTAATTCATTTATGTGACTATCCTCTGTTTTCTTCATATGGGCACTTAGTGCAATGAACTTCCCTCGTAGCACTGCTTTCAAGGTGTCCCATAAGTTCGGGTATGTTGTATCCTCATTCTCGTTGAATATTAGAAAGTCTTTAATTTCTTTCTTTATTTCTTCTTTGACCCAGGAGTGGTGCAATTGCACATTGTTCAGTTTCCATGAGTTTGCAGGTTTTCTGCTATTTGTATTGTTGTTGAATTCCAATTTTAAAGCATGGTGGTCCGATAAGATACAGGGGACTATTTCTATTCTCTTGTATCTGTTGAGGTTTGTTATGTCTCCTAGTATGTGGTCGATTTTAGAGAAGGTTCCATGTGGAGCAGAGAAGAAGGTATATTCTTTTGTCTTTGGATGGAATGTTCTATAGATGTCTGTTAGCCCCAGTTGAGACATAACTTCTGTTAATTCTTTTGTTTCTTTGTTGAGTTTCTGATTTGTGGTCCTGTCTAGTGTTGAGAGTGGTGTATTGAAGTCTCCCACTATAAGTGTGTGAGGTTTTATATGAGCTTTGAGTTTTAGTAGTGTTTCTTTTACGAATGTGGGTGGCTTTGTATTAGGGGCATAGATGTTCAGAATTGAGACTTTGTGTTGATGGATTTCTCCTGAGATGAATATGAAATGACCATCTTCATCTCTTTTGACTAGTTTTGGTTTGAAGTCTAGCTTGTTAGATATTAGGATAGCTACGCCTGCTTGCTTCTTATTTCCATTTGATTGGAAAATCTTTTCCCAACCCTTTACCCTGAGGTAATGTCTATCTTTGGAGCTAAGATGTGTTTCTTGTATGCAGCAGAAGGATGGATTCTGTCTTCGTATCCATTCTGTTAATCTGTGTCTTTTTATAGGTGAGTTAAGACCATTAATGTTGAGGGTGAGTAAGGACCATTGATTGTTGATGGTTGTTTGATTTAGGTTTGTTGTTGGCAGTGGTATTGTGAATATATTTGTTCTGCTTCACCCTAGGTTTCTGGTGTAGTTGGATTATCTGTTGCCTACATTTTTGTGGGCGTAGTTACCTTCCTTGGGTTGGAATTTTCCTTCCAATACTTTCTGTAGGGCTGGATTTGTAGATACATATTGGGAAAATCTGGTTTTGTCATTGAATATCTTGTTCTCTCCATCTATATTGACTGAGAGTTTTGCTGGATATAGTAGCCTAGGCTGGCATCCGTGTTCTCTTAATACTTTTAGAACATCTATCCAGGACCTTCTGGCCTTGAGGGTTTCCATGGAGAAGTCAGGTGTAATTTTGATAGGTCTGCCTTTATATGTTACCTGTCCTTTTTCCTTCGCTGCTCTTAATATTTTTTCTTTATTCTGTATGCTAGGTGTTTTGATTATTATATGTCGAGGGGTCTTTTTTCTTTGGTCCAGCCTATTTGGGGTTCGGTATGCTTCTTGTACTTTCATGGGCATGTCGTTCTTCAGATTTGGAAAGTTTTCCTCGATGATTTTGTTGAATATGTTTTCAGCACCTTTGAGCTGGGCTTCCTCACCTTCCTCTATGCCTATTATTCTTAGGTTTGGCCTTTTCATGGTGTCCCACATTTCCTGGATATTGTGTGTTAAGGATTTGTTGGATTTATGGTTTTCTTTGGTCGATGAATCTATTTCTTCTAGTTTATCTTCTGCGCCTGAGATTCTCTCTTCCATCTCTTGAATTCTGTTGGTTATGCTTGTGTCCGTGGTTTCCGATTTTTTGCCCAGCTTTTCAATTTCCAGCTTTCCTTCCATTTGTGTTGCCTTTATTTTCTCAATTTCGGTTTTCAAATCTTGAACCGTTTCCTTCACCTGGTTAATTGTTTTTTCTTGGCTTTCTGTACTTTCCTTAAGGAATTTGTTCATTTCTTCCACTTTTTTGTTTGTTTTTTCCTCTATTTCTTTAAGGGATTTTCTCATATCTTCTTTGAGGGCCTCTATCATTTTTATGATGGTGATTTTTAAGTCATACCCTTCTGCTTCCTCTGCTTTGTTGTTGTGTTCCATTCTAGTTGGTGTAGATTCCCTAGATTCTGGTGGTGTCATGTTTGTCTTTCTGTTGTTAGGTGTTCTCTTGTATTGCCTTCTTCCCATAGTTTCTTCCTGTAGGTGTTGGTGGTGTCTCTTCCCTCTCTCTATGGTCCTTCCCAGATGGGCTTATGTGGATCAAAGATTCAATGTCTGTATCTCTGTGTGGTCCAAGCTCTCTAGGAGGCTTCTCTCTGGCCAATAGCCGGGAGAAGAGGACGAGGGCTGGACTGGAACTTGAGAAGGTTTTGCAGGGTAGTGGGATCTCACTGGAAACTGGCGCTCTCCAGCTGAGACCTCGTTCTTTGGCAGGGCCCGGATTTGGGGGTCAAGGATCTTGCCTGCAGGAACTCCAAGTGGACCCGCTGAGATAGGCGGATCTCTGGGAGGGGCCTGGGACTCCAGCAGAGGACTGGAGGCGGGGTCAGGGACCAAGCCGGTGGAAATTACAGGTGGTCCCACGTGGATAGTCAGGTCTCCTTTGTTCGGAGTTGCTCCGAGAGGTCTCCGAAGTAGGGTGGACTGTTGGCTCCACCCTCTGTCCCAGTGCTCAACCAGAGCAGCAGGACCGTAGGTGGGGTAGGGCACAGGGTGGGGGGGGTAGGCTGGAGGTTGGGATGGGTGAGGGTGTATCAGAGCTCCAAGGGTGCTCTCAAAGGGGACCGGAGACAGGAGCAGCAGCGGGCTGTTTGTCTTTTAAGACAAAAATCTCCCTATGCATCCCTAACTTGCCTGGAACTCACTCTATAAACCAGGATGGCCTTGAACGTTCCAAAATCCACCTGCCTCTGCATTCTGAGTACTGGTATTAAAGGAGTGTTCCCATGCCTAGCTTGGTGGGTGTTTTGTTTTGATTTGATTTGTTTTGTTTTAAGAGATCCATATATAGTTTGCAAAGTTCAGCAAAGCAACCAGATCAAATAAAGGAAAGATGTGTTTTGGATTCAGTAGTGGGGAAGTTGTTAGTGACTTTGGCAAAGCTGTTTTCATGGGATTGGGGAGGAGGTGGCCAGACTAAAGTGGCTTGGGACTCAGGAATCCAACAGTACAGCTGACAAGTAGAGATTGCACTGAAGAAAACAAGGCCTCGTGAACCGTATGGATTCCATTTCCCTGTGAGTTTCTGCCCAATAACACTGGAGATGCTGAGAAAACCTCCCTAACCCTGATCTCAGGCAGAGGTTCATGACTAATGTACTTCTCTCCCTCAGGCCGCATCCTGGACCTGAAGACTGGGACAGTGAAGAAGGAAGGACAGCAGTCATCCATGCGCATGTGCATGGGCTCTCGACGCTCCTTCATCTGTAGGATGAGGTTTGTGGGTTAGCAAAGGCCAAGGCCAGAGGGCTTCGCTTGACCTTGCTCTTAACTTTAGGCTTTCTTGACCTGGCAGGAGAATATTCCTCTTCTGCCTCCTATACCTCCTAGTAATTCACCATTTCCCACCCATTCTGTTTTCTTTCTCTTTCATGTTCATTAATTTTTTTTTTGAGGTAGCCCTAATTGGGACTGCAATTTGCTATATAGACTAGGCTGGCTTCTAACTAGCAAAGATCCTTCTGCCTAAACCTCCCAGGTGCTGGGATTAAAAGTGTGCACCACCACACCAGCATGTTCTTGGTTTTTTTTGTTTTGTTTTGTTTTGTTTTAGGGGGGGTGGGAACAGGGCCAGGAACTGTGCTGGGGATTAAACCCAGGGGTTGTATCCCTGGGGCAAGTGCTCTGACACTGAGCTATTATTCAGCCTTTGGCTTTGGGGGATTTTTCAGTGTAGTGCAAGCTGGCTGGGACTCTTGGTTCTCTCTTCCATCTCCTCAGTGCTCTATATTTACTAACCCTGTTCCCGTATAATAACCCTGTTCCCATGTAATAACCCTGTCCCAGTGTAATAATCCTGTCCCAGTGTAATAACCCTGTCCCAGTGTAATAATCCTGTCCCAGTGTGATAACCCTGTTCTTGTGTAATAACCCTGTTCCAGTGTAATAACCCTGTTCCCGTGTAATAACCCTGTCCCAGTGTAATAACCCTGTCCCAGTGTAATAATCCTGTCCCAGTGTAATAACCCTGTCCCAGTGTAATAACCCTGTCCCAGTGTAACAACCCTGTCCCAGTGTAATGACCCTGTCCCAGTGTAATAACCCTGTTCTCGTGTAATAACCCTGTTCCCGTATAATAACCCTGTCCCCGTGTAATAACCCTGTCCCAGTGTAACAACCCTGTCCCCGTGTAATAACCCTGTCCCAGTGTAATAACCGTGTTCCCATGTAATAATCCTGTCCCAGTGTAATAATCCTGTCTCAGAGTTATAACCCTATCCCAGTGTAATAATCCTGTCCCAGTATAATAACCCTGTCCCAGTGTAATAACTCTGTTTCCCTGTACTTTGTGATTTTTTCCCCCAACTGTTCTTTGAGGGCTTTCACATGTTTTTGCCTCTTCAGGTTCTGTATTTCTCAATATGGTTTGCATTGAAACCACTGATCCCATGTTTATGCTTGTATTTCCTATAACAACCCACACCTTTTAAACTGGTTCCTAACTACTATTGATCAAATTTATTTGTTTTGATTTTGAGGCAGGGTCTCATGTGTCCCAGGCTGGCATCAAACTCTTACAGCTACAGGTGACTTTGAAGTTCTGATCTTTCTGTATTTGCTTCCTAAGTACTAAGACAATGGGGTGGGCTACCATGCCTGGTTTATATGGCATTGGAATTCCTGAACTTCCTTTGTGCTAGGCAAGCACTCTACTCACAGAGCCACATTGCAAGCCCTATTGATTTATGTTTTAAATGTAAATGGTTTGGCTTCATGTCAATTACATCATCCTAAGGATAGAGGCTGTGGTTTATACCTCTTTGACATTTTTGTTTGTTGGGTTTGAAATGTCCAGGTTAGCTCAGTCTAGCATCTACTAGCTTCCATTCTTGATCCTCATGTCTCAGCCTCCTACAGGCTGGGTTTACAAGCTTGAGCTACATTTGCCCAGATGATTCATGACTCTTTACACCTCCTTGGCTTTCAATAGAATGTTTTGTATATAGTTATTGCTTGAATTCATGGAAGATTGGGCCCAGAAGTCCTCACCCCCAGCAAAATCTGAAAGGGAAAGAGAGAGCGAGAAGGGGGGGGGGATAGGAAAAGAACCCTGGTTCTTTCTAGAGAAAAAGAAAGGTCAAGGCAGCCTTTTTTTTTTTTAATTATTAAGGTGATAAGGAGGAGTGAGAAATATAATATACTTGCAGATATCTAATAGGACGGGCAACCAGCCATGTGTAGGATATAAAATAATGAGATAGATCAGATATGGGACTATGCTGTGTCCTGTCCTGTTGGAAAAACCGAGTGCCATTACTAAGATGGGAAAGATGTCTGGGAGCTCCTTTAGAATGAAGGGGAGTAGCCATCCCTTCTAGACTGAGGTACCAACCAGACAACTAAATGGAAGAGATGAGGGGCAAATTGGATGTATAACTCTAGAAATGGAGGGAATATTAGGACTGAGGATGGACTCGGGGATCCATGTTGAGATGGCAGCTGAGCTTGGTGGACAGTCACCAGAAGGCAGTTGAGAGAGCACATCAGAGGATGCACTTGGGGCCCTGCTTCCCCATTGGCAGAAAGATGAGTTGAGCATCTAGCCAGGTGGGAGGGAATCAGAGAAAGCCAAGTATCTGAAAAGCCACTACTAAGCCCCAAATGCAAGATCTGAAGCTTCTAGGCTAATACTCAGAGTGAGAAGCAGAAGCTGGAGCCACAGGCAGGCAAGGCACACTCACTGTCTTCTACTTAGCCTGTCCCAGGATGCATTTCCCCTGGGGCTGTCTCCAAACACCTCTCCTGACCAGTGGGATTGTGCATCCATTTTGACTTCTCTCTTCCCCTTCAAGCTGTGTGAGCCCACTGAGCTGCCCGTCCCACTGGCTAATGTCACTTTTACTTGGTTGTCTGCTGCCAGAAGTGACTTAACACTTGCATGTCTTGTGGGTACTATCTCATTCCAAGGAGAATTTTCTTTTAAATGGTTATTTATTTTTCCTTTTAGATCAGTGTATGTTTTAACAAAATCTATTCGTTATTGCTAGAGAGATAGCTATGTTAGAAAAGAAAACGTCTAGTATGGTGGTGTGTGCACTTGTAATCCCAGTGATGGGGAGGTGGAGACAGGCAGATTTCTGGGACGTGCTGCCTATTGGGCAAATCCTAGGTGAGAGACCATGTCTCAGGAAAAAAAAAAAGTGCATGGTACTTGAGGAAGAACAGCTAAGATTGTCCTCTGGTCTTCACACAGATTGTGTATATATCTGAATACCTGTATTTATACACATATACACAGAGACAGACACAGAGAGAGAGAGAGAGACAGAGACAGAGACAGAGAGAAGGGGGCAGGGGAGAGAGAAAAATATACAAATCTACACACCATATCACCAAAGTTACCTGCTTCTTATCCCTAGGTGGGTCTACAGAACCCTCTTTTACAAAACATTGCTTTAGGGGTCTGGTGAAAGAGCTGTTATTTCCACTGCATCTGCTCCTCTCCAGGCTCGATGCTGGACCTCTTCCAGAAAGTCCTGACAAAGTGACAGGAAGGCACTGGAGTGACAGTGTGTAAATGGTCTTTCTGACTTAGGATGGAGTCTCACTGGCTGCCTGCTTTGTGCTGCAAATGAGCTGGACATAGGAATCATGCACAACATCTAGCCAGAAACAAAATATCATCAGCTAATGTCACAGCAGGGTCCTCTTATCCTGGCTTGGGGACAGTTAGTAAGCCCAAGTGATGTAAATTCTAAATTAATTCCATGAATGAACTGCTTGGAGGCATCATAGCACACCGTTTCTATTAGCAGTTATACTGCCACTGTTACCACTTAGATTATCCCATCATTCCAAGCCCAGGCATGCCTCCAGAGAACATACTTATAGCTGCTCATCCGAGTATGAGCCCTGTGCTACCTGGACTGACTTGAGAAATGTGCAGCACTTTGTTGTGCCTAGAGGATGACATCTTCAACAAAACAACACAGTTTCTTCAGGACACTGGGCACAGTCTTCCAGGAAGGGACAGAGGGCCCTGTGTGCATCCCTAGGTAGCAATGTTGTAGATTGATTCTGCTATGAAAACTACTCCAGTGCTGGCAGCTCTCCAAGGTCTCAGAACATAATTGGACAATTTCTTTTTTTCTTTTTTTGCACGTTGCCAATGAAGACATCCAAGCTGGCACTTGTCATGTAGTTGGGGAATGGAAATACACTTAACAAATGGGGCTGCCAAGTAGTGGCCAGAGCCTGGATGCTTGATACCTGAGATGCTGAGAGAGTCATTGAGAAGTGACCAGGGATATCCTGCCATTGTGACAAGTGCTTTATCCCCTGGGCCCCATAGGGGGGCCCCAGGCATACCTGATTCTATGACTATGGGTCCTTTGTCTGCATCCTCTCCTTTGCAATCAGCAGGCTTCCAGCTGTGTGGTTGTTCCTAGAGCCAACCCTGGTCAGGAAGGAGTATCCACAATGTGATGCTCAAGCCTGGAAAGATGCTACTGTTCATTCAGCTGTCAACATCTGTTTTGAGTTGATGTCTCTGCCCAGACCTGAACAGACATTGCTGCTATCATCACCCTCCCCATTTCCACAAAGCCACTGATTCCACTGAAATAATCTGTGGGACCAAGGATAGCTAGGGTTTCCTTTAGTCTCTCTGCAACTCTCTAGCACTAAGATGGACTGAAATGTTTCTCGTGCATGTTAAAAATTAGCTAAACTCCCCTTCTAATGGCAATCACAAGTCAAGAGCAGGCAAGCCCACTTCTGCCCTTTGGAAGGATATTAGCCATGGGGCTTCCCTGAGTAAGACATACAGCAGCTGAGAACCATCTACTTGATAGCACCCTTACCCTTCAGTGTGTGTGGGGGGGAATAGAAAGTGAGAGGAGGGGACAACTTTTACAAGTGCGGGTCCTAGGTAACTTTTGTATCCCTTGATGCTTAATAGCAACACATGGTAGCAGGCAAGAGCAACAGTGAGAAGCTACTTTCAGTGTTATGGCAGGCCTTGGGTAAAAGGATCTTTAGCCCTGCAAGTGTTAAAGCTCGTGTACTGAGATTTCTCAACTCTTGGCTGCAGCTACAGTTTCCAGGCAGTCTAGGTATCATATTCTTCAGGCTGTGATAACAGCCAGTTAACACTGGCTGAGTCTCTTGACCCTAAAAGCAGGACTACTATAGAAGTCTTCCAATAACAAGATCTACAGTCTCCTCTGACTCTGCAGGCTTCCAGCCGTCTGTTGTCAAGCAGCTAGCTATCCTGCCACTTACACAGTCCAGCCTGCTGGTGGCTCAGCTGTCCCTGGCACTGCTGCTTTCCTGCCTCTGCCTTCACCACTCACTGCTCTGCTATCTCTGCTACTTCTCTTTTGTGTGTTACCAGCTCAACTGTAATAATAACAGAGTAATTAAGACAACAACAATAACAAAAGTAATTAAGGAAAGACTGCTCCAGAAAAGCTTGTCACTGGGCTTGATGTGCCAGCAGGACAGTGTCCCCCAGATGGCTCACATAAAAAGCCGAAGAGTGTGCTTATGTAGCCTAAAAGGGTATTTGCATCAATCATAGCAACCCGTGCATGCAAATGCAGGCTAGTGTTTGCCCCCAGTCACAGGCTTACCCCTCTAGTTCCAGTCTTCTAGCCACCAGAAGTGTTTCCCTCCTGGCTTAGGTAGAAATAGTTGTAGGGTCATCTTGAGTTCACCCATGCTTTTAACAGCTAAAATTCCAGTAAGAAACTGTTTCAAAGAGCTCTGGCTAGGGCTACACCTTCCAGAGTAGTTTTTACAAGGTGTCTATAAAGTGTTCAGAGCAGCCCGTGCTCACAGACTGGTACTCTGACTGGCTGTTTGACTAATACTCCTTTTGATCAAGATAGTCACAGATGCAAGAGGAACTCCAATGGCTGTGGATGAAAATGTTTAATTACCCTCCCCCAGTATCTCAACATCTTTATTTATAAGAAAATGAATGTCAGAAAGAGTGTTTGCAAACTAAAGAACTCTTCATATGTGTTGACAATATGGTTCAGTCAGTCAAGTACTTGCCTTATAAAATAAGACCTAAGTTTGATCTCCAATGTCCACGTTAAAAAAAAAAAAAAAAAAAAAAAAAAAAACAGGGTATGGTGGCACACTTTAGAAATCCTAGCATCAGAGATGCAAAACCAGAAGGGTCTCTGGGGCTCAGCCACCAGCCAGCCTCACGTGGTAAGCTGCAGGCCAGTGAGTGACATTATCTTTAAGGATGGAATGACACCTGAGGTATCCTCTGGCCTCCACGTGTATGTGCATACATGTGAACCTGCACACTCTGGTGCACATACACATAAACTTGTGTGTGTGCATATGTGCACACACACCCCCACACACACCTGCACAACTTGAACTTACACTAATAGTTATTTTAAAGGACTTAACATCTGCCTAATGCTTCAGTGCCAGGTGGGTTCCCCTTGTGTCTCAGTAGCACCATATGTTTCGTACGTATATTTACTGCATCCTCACTGGTTCTAACACAAGTGCTGACTGTGCTGACTCTTAGGTGTGGAAATGCCCCCTTGGACCACCTGCCTTTGAACAGAATAACCACCATGCGGAAAAGGTTCAGGTGGGCATCCCTTCCTATGATGTACTTGGGGCCTATGCTAGTAGATGTCATGATGGCCCCACAGTGGGGAATAGTTCTGCTTGAAGAGGGGCTAAGAGCAGAGGACCAGGAGGGCATGTTCGGGGTGGCAGTGCCTGCGCTGAGAACTGGGAGTTGGGTGGAATTTATGTGTGACTTTTAGAAGTCAGGATGGTGGGAAATCAAGATTTAAAACCACAAAGGAAAAAAGGGAACAGGTAGCTTAGATGCCAAAGGGGTCATCACCTTGCCTCGTTCCCATGTGATGAAGACAGCTTCATGTTTGTCCTTTCTCAGGAATGGCCTTGGCCCTGTGAAGGAAGGAGAAGCGCAGTATGCTGTGGTCCACTGCACAGGTTATATCAAGGCTTGGCCACCAGCAGGTGAGCAGAGCTGCTAACGTATTTCCAAGAAGGCAGATGCCTTCACCTCCAACTGTACTACTGGGCTAAGAGTATTCTTGGAGAAAAAAACCAGGAAAGTATTGTTGTTTTTCTTTGTGGTTAGGATGTCATCTTTGATACTGGAGAAAGCCCCACTACTTGAAACAGGTTTCCAGAAAGTGGAGTGAGAGGGACCTATGCATCCTCAACCTCTGAAAAAGATAGTGTGGAAATTTAAAATGGTAGTTGGGGCCATGTTCCTATAGATACACACGTCAAAATCACAGTGAGATAACAGATAATCGGGCAATAACAAGCATTGGCAAGGAAAGGGAGAAGTGAAACCATCATATCTTGCTGGTAGGAATGTAAAACAGCATAGCCACTTGGAAAAACAGTCTCAAAATGTTAAGCATGCAGTTACTGTATGACTTCACAATTTGACTCCTAGATATCAACCCAAAAGAACTGAAGACCCAGATCTGCAAAACAAATTTGAATGCAAACATTTATTCATAATGGACAAAGGATTAAAACAACCTGAATATACACCAAGTGGTGAATAGATGAATAAAATGTCATGTATCCATACAGGGAACATTAAAGCACAAAAGTATTGCTATGAATCCCATAAAGAAAAGAACACAAAGACTGTGGCTGTAATACAGTTAAAGAATGTATATCAATAGCCAGCTTAGTGCTTGGAATAAAGACATTGGATATCGTGTCATTGCCTCTACTGGGCAGTGATCTGAGGATTACGCTCATTGTGAACTAGATTTGTATTTTGGAGAGGATCATACAAAACCCCTCTCTGGCCAGTGCAGGGATCTGCAGTGACCCTTCCTTCACTGACTGACTGACACAGCCTACTTTATAGGGGGAGTGACACTCTGCTGCCTGGTGTCTATAAGATTGTACCACTGACCTGCCATAGGAAGTTAAGATAATTTCTTTATACTGCTTACAGTTTTCCGGAGACTGAGTTTTCGATGTCCACAAATATCATCAGTATCTTTCTGCAGTTCTGGAATGTACCATATAATACTAACAATAATGACTGTTGAGTGTTTGCCATGTCAGACATAATTAGATCAAAACAGTGCTATGGAATTGGCAGAGTCTGAGCACCTGCAATTCAAAACTCTACAATCTAAGCACTCCACACTGACTTTTTGTGTGTGTGTATGCATTTATTTACACACACACACACACACACACACACACACACACACCAACAACCTGTCAATTGGATATTTTTCTACTTAAAGCATTATCTTAAGCTTTATTGGGTTGCTATCACAAAACATTACAGGCTGGGTAATTTACCCTAAAAAGAAATTTCTTTCTTACAGTTATAAGGATGGAGACTTAAGGGCTAAGGGGCTGCATTTGGCAAGGATCTTCTGGCTGTGTGTCAGATTATGGCAGAGGGTCTCATATGGGGAGAGAACTGACACCTGGAACCTCTGGTTTTAGGTCTCTCTCCCTTTCTTTGATTTTATTTTTTGAGGCAGGATCTTACTATATACATCCTGGCTGGCCTAGAACTCCAGGCTGCTCTTGAACTCACAGAGATCTACCTGCCTCCCAAGTACTGTGATTAGAGTATGCCACTGCACATAGTTTCTCTCTTAAGAGGCCACTATCATCATCATGAGGTCACCGTAGAATCTGATTTAACTTTGTTCCCCTCCAAATGGCCCCATCTCCCAATACCATCAACATATGAATATGGGGTTTCAAGTTTCTGACTCATGAACTTTTGATAACATTTTTTCTTGATGTGTATGACTGCTTTGCCTACATGTGTGTCTGTACACCATGTACATGCTGTGTGTGCAAGAGATAGTTCCCCAGGGACTGGAGTTACAGATGGTGTGAGTCACCATGTTGGAAATCCAATGAAGGTCCTCTAGATGAGTGGCCAATGTTCTCAATCACTGTACCATCTCCCCTGCCCCCTCAGAGACATCTTTAAAACACAGGAAGTGTAATTTAGAAGATGTTGTTTGCCAAAGGCCTGAGCCAGACTCAGGGACAGAGATTCAGAAAGCATCCAGCCCTCAGCTTTGGAGATCCACTCACTCACAGTTCTGATAGTGCTACAAAACCAGTCAGACCCCAGGAGTACAAATAGTTCCAAGCAACTGAAGTATTACAAGGAACAGTGCCGAGCTAGGACAGGGCCTTTTGTAAATGGCATGGCTGTTCCTGTCTGTTGTTGTTTATGGGAACATCACATAGTGCTTGAGAAAATAGGTCTGTAGTAGGAGATTGTTCCAGGAGATGAAAATAAGAGCAAAAGACTGTGGACCTTGAAAGGAGATAGGCAGCAATGTCTCCATTATCTAGTATGTTTGATGGCCTATGTGTGCCCATTGTTTAGCAAGTCTCTCAGGGCTACAAACCTCAGACTCATTCTTCTAGGAGTGCCCAGAAAAATGGGGAGAGCACATGCATGGCAAAGGGATAGAAAGGTGTTATGAGACAGTCATCTTTGGGGATGAAAGAGTCCCTAAGCCAGCTGAGGTTAGGAAAGTTGCCCTGAAGAATGCCCATACCCAGGCTTCATCAGTACTCCAAAGCCTTCTTCTTGGGATCCAAGCCAAGGGGATGCCTTGATCCCTACTGAATCTTTCCTCACTCAAGTTAGTTCATCGTTCTTACTACACCAGGCAAATTCCTCTTCTGCTTCTGGACTCATTATGATTTTCTGTCCCTTTATTGGGGCTCCAGGCCCATGATCTCATGAGTAATGTCAGGAGTGTGATAAAACACACTCAGCCTCTGTGGACAGGGAGAAAAGAGGTATCCCAAGAGACAGGCAGTGGTGGCAGCCAGTGGATGAGTTCCTGTGGAGCTATATATGTCTCAAGACTGTTGGTGATAGTCTGTGTGGGGCAGGAAGATAGTCTTCGTCTTAAACACTGGCCCTTGAAACTGCCACTTAAGGGCTGGCTGAAGGGGCCAGGATGTTTCACTTAGAGAAAATGAGACATGATTGCTGTCTTCAAGTATTTGAGGGGGTGTCATATAAAGGAAGAATTAGTCTCAGGATAGTTCAGAAGGCACAACTTGGAGCAAAAGAGGAAAGTTACAGATGAGAGAAGTAAGCCAAGAGCAGGAGAGGGCATTAAAAATGCAAGATAGACACATTAAGCTATGGTTAACCATTAAGCTATGGTTAACCAGAACAGCACATTAAAACGATTTGATACCATTTTCTCTTACATACTAATGGACCAAAGAAAGAAAAGGCAAATGATGTACAGTGTTACAAAAAGAAAGAAAGAAGGCAAATGAAGGAAGGAAGGAAGGAAGAAAGAAAGAAAGAAAGAAAGAAAGAAAGAAAGAAAGAAAAAAGAAAGAAAGGAAAGAAAGAAAAAAGAAAGAAAGAGTAAAGGCACTTCTTACAGTGCTGTTTGGAATGCAAATTAGTGCAAGACTTGAGTAAAATAACTGAACAATATGTATCAAACATTTGACAGTGTGTGACCCATGATACAACACTCAGATTTGTGGAAATTTATTCTAATGAATTGATTAGCAATGTCTATATATTGTGTGCTTAAGCACAATTTAACAATTGTGAAATCTCCAAATGAACCTAAATGTGACTGGTAGATAATCTATATCTACCAGCACATTGGACAGACACTAATGAGATGTTTGAGAACAAAATAAAGTGTAAAGAATTATTTTTAAATAACTACAAGACATACATCTTGATTTTTTAGATTATAAATGAATAAAACATAGGTATATGTTAAAACTGGAATAATAATCACTTTTTTCTATGTATGGACTTTTTCTTCTCTATTTATGTCTATATTTCCCCCAAAGTTTTACCTGATTTCAATAATCAGAGAAAATGATATTTTGAGACATCAATCTGAAATTTCAAAGTAGGTATCTAAGATGATCAGATTGCATGGTTTACAGTGAACTTGAACGTATGTCATCATCTGCCTTCTTGGTTTGCTCTTCTACTGGGTGTTTCTGTGAAGATGGAGGTTCGGGAGAAGAAGGCCATCATGCATGCCTACAGGGTCCTACAACACCTACTGCCTTCTTCTGTGGCTGCCAATACTCATTCTTGATTAGCAGCTGCATTCTTAGTGTATTAACACTAATTCTGGCTTACTGTTGGCATTCTGCAAGACACAAGGGCACATGTTCTGTTCTGTTCATCTTCTCATCCCCATATATCACAGACCCAGCAAACATCATATTCATGGAGACTGGATGGGTGGATGCATGCATGGATGGATGGTTGCATGGATGCATAGATGGATGGATGGATGGTAAAAAAAAAAAAAAGAAAGAAAGGAAGGCTCTTGTTAAAAAATAAAAATTGTGAATCTGGAAGGATGTATGTATGTAGAAATTTCTTGCCTGAGTTTCTAAGTTTATAGAATTCAGTTTTGTGGCACTCTTGAGACAGAGACAGTTGTATTGCCTAGATGAGTGGTTAAAGTGATGACTATTTTACCCCTTCCTAAGGTCATGGAATTGGGGTACTAGATTAGCAAACAGCTCACTATAAGGACTATGGCTCTGCTTGCTTACCTGTTCAAGCTCTATAATCATAAACAATGGCTAAGTTATAGGAAAGATTTATGACAGCTAATTAAAGTCACTATAAATACAAAAGCCAAACTCAGAAAATGATTAGCAGCCAGGATGAACTTTGCAGTGCAAACCAGAGCTTTGTGGACAGATTTCTTGACAGCAACTCATAACATGTGCACTTAGGCCTGAGTAGATTAGCTGTACATCCATGAGTCTTTCTTCTTCCTATCTGCCCTTGCTATACAAACCTCAAAGTAGAATCTGGTATATTCCAGAAGCCCTTTCTGTAACACAGTAGCCTTCCTAATTAGCCTAATGACATTTTACACTATACTGGTCCTTTCTGTATTTGGAGTGGGACTAACAGGCATTGAGTTCCTTTGTCCCATCATGCAGTTGTTTATGTTGTCAAAAACCATAACATG